ACGAAGTTTTCTTAGTGATTTTAACATATTGATAAAAGTCTACTTTTTTAGTTAGAGTTGTGAATAAAACAAAAAAAAATAGAATAAATAGAGTGAAATATATGAGATTATAAACTATACAACTTTGGATGTAAATTTTGTCTACTAGTACATACGGAATGCTTAGTTAATAAATTGAAAAAAAAGAACGGAAGCATCTGATTTTCTCCGGATTCCGCGTATCTATAGTCATCGTTTTCGTTATTGTTGTGTTAGGGTTACACGTTCCCAAAAAAGAAAATTTTTTTTTATTTAGTAATAATGACACTCTTAATTTAGACAGATTATGATTATCTAATTTTAAAGATTTTTTGAAAATTGGCTAGCATTTTTAAACATGAGAAATTTTTTTTTAACAATCAAATTTAGTGAATAAATTTATAATTATACAAGCGTATCTTATTCAATTGTATAAACGAACAATTTTTTAGAAAAGTTGTTTTTTGTTTTAGAGCATAAACAAAATAAGTTATCCTCCTATTTAACCAGTAACTAAAATGATATATTCAACATAATCTTTTTTATGAGGTTTTTATAATACCAATAATTAACAAATAAATAAATATTCAAAATAATAAAAATGATGGATTATTCAGTATGATTTTAAAATACAAACCCTATGAACCTAAGCTATAAACAAAATTATCTGAATATGTATAAACATAATTGTAAATTTAACTACCCATATAACTACCCATATAATATTTATAAGACTAAATCTAGCTATTGTACAATTAAGTTGAATTTACATGTTTAAAAAGAATCAACATTTCTTTATGTCTAAAATAAATAAATAACTAAATAAAATAAATTATAGAAAAGCAAAAACAACAATCAATGATACAATAATACCAAGAGCTACTAAAATTAAAATTATAGCTATCATTATCATTAATTTACTCTATGATAAAAAATTGTTAATAACATGATATATAGTACAAAATTTTCATTCGATTATTGAAATCTCACCCTTTTTCGTTTTTTTGGGAGTTCGAATTCGATTTGTTCACTTGGTGATATGTCCGTTACTTCGATAAATTTAGTAGTGTGAACCGTATCGTCTTTTTCTATTACTAATGCTTGAACTTCGCTAAACATTTTATTTAACTCCTGTTTATAAATTATTATGCGTTAGAGGAAATTGTATATCGGGCAAAGATATTATATCACACATTCAGTATATTATGCAAGAAACCCACAAACCAATGTTAGAACATACAAATAGGATTGGATGAATCTTCAAGGTTACATTAGGCGATGAAGGATGTATTTGTAGAAGTAACCTTGAAAGTTCAAATATATAAACATCCAACAAGATTATAACCTTGAAAATTCTCCAAATCCTACCCGCTAGTCCGAGTATCTAAAAGGTTTGATGTTTCAAATTTGAATAAACGATGATGGAATTCATACATTTATTGATTTTTCAATCCGTCGAACATCACGTTGGCGGTCTTTAATTTCTGCAAGAATTGTGCGCGACTGATTGGACTGTTCTGATGATTGTATCTGATTTCAATACAAGTAATTTTAAGTGAATTCAGTATTAAAATAAATAGTTCATTAATTGTAATGAAAGATACCTTATTTATGTCATTATCTATAAGTTGATCGATTTCTTCTTGTGTGGCATCAGGATTCACTATAAAATAAATAAATAAATCAATAAAATAAGATAAAATAAAATGAATTAAATAATAAAATTATCTATTGCAAATATTTCTTCCAGAATGTCAATAAATAAATTCCGGAATAGACATCTACCTTTACGATATTCCTCTGCAATTTTATTTCTATACTTTCCAGCATTTTCCATCTGCATCCTACGATATTTTGTCATTTCATCCATAAATGATTTTGCTAAGGTCGCATGCTTCTCGAATTAATTAGAATATATGTCAGAATGATATTGTAAAATGAAGATGTACGATGGGTTATATAAACAAAGAGTACTTGTGTTAATCTCTTTCGCGCTTGATCTTGTCCTTCGAGTGATTTGTTACTTTGCTCCATAACTATGTTGAGCTTATCAATATAAAAATCAATTTTATCAAAAAAAACAAAACCAAAAAAAAGATGTAAATTCCGCACCTGCCAATTTGTGGCTAATTTGGCTGCTTATTCGGCTTGTCTCAGAAATCAATAAATCAATTTGTCGTGACATTCCTAAAATAGTTTATTTCAAAATAAACCAATTAAGCAATACATTCAATAATTATCCATGAATTGTATAAAGTAAAGAAATGAGTAATAAATTAGGAACGGTGCTCAACGAGAACTCTCATCTTCTATTTCTACGGTCAGTGTTCTTTTATATAAATCTTTGAGTGCTGTTAGATTGTCTCTTATTGAACGAATCATCTCTGTTATGGAATTTACCTGTATAAACAAAATTCACAAATTTTAATTGTTTAAATTCGATAAATTACGATAAATTACGATAAATTACAAAAAGAAAAAAAAAGAAACACTTTATTTTATACTTATTGCAAATGTTATACTGACTTCTTTGTAAAACTCTCCGAGGGTTTGGCTACCACTACTTAAGCCAGCTTGGCCACTACTACCCTCAATTTCTTCTATTTCTTCCGCATTATTTGTACTTTGAGCGCCTTCACTTGTATTTAACTTTGATGTTTAAATAATTAATTTAAAAAATTCGTTCAAGCATTCAAAATAAATATAAAACTCACCTGAGGGTCAGAAGTATGATTGTGACTCATTATGCTAATAACAAATTATAGTACTTTTCAGAGTGTTTATTTTTTTTGAAAATTTGGAGAACTTTGAAGACCAGCCGCAAACTCTCCGAGAATTCATTGAGAGCATAGTACGTACACGAACAAAAAATAAAGATTTTTTTTACCTATATCTGTGTCGCCGACTTCTATATTTGAAGGCAGTTATGCCGTGGAACCAATTTTGTATTCCCGCCGAGGCATAATGCAAGTAGATCTTTCAGCACCCGAAATAGTCAAAATAGGACAAGGTATATATATAGCTGCATAATAATACGTTACTGGTTACACATCACAATCTGCCAAAATTACAGTTTTAAAGATTTGTTATACAGCATATATCGATATCGATATGTCATTTCACACTGTTGCCTTATGTGATGCATTCTAATTCTCGGGTTACGCATTTCAATTCAAATCAAAATTCTCGGAATAAGTAATTTATAAATAGTGCCATTTATTTCAATAATAGAAACTTCGGGTCAAGATCGTCAAGATGGTTTACGTATACGTACTGTTTTTGTGTGCAACGCGAAAAATACTTATTGCATTTAATTTACAAAAAGAATAAATGCATAATGGATAATAATAAATAGCGCATCTATTCTTGTATTCTTTAATCAATATATTTTTTGGAGTAATCTTTTAGATGTTCAGTGAATTTCAGATTTGTGAGTCGCGTGATCTACTATACGGATTTACCAACAGTTATACCAACAGTTATTTCGCAGACTTTTAATTATAACCAATAAGGCTATACCCCTGGCTATAAATGGGACAAACTTTAACTGTTGGTTCACCGCTACTATATGAGGTTCAGAAAAAACAATTTCACAATAGTTTAACAATGGACCCTAAATTATATTGAAGCTAATTCATTAGTTCTTTAATATTAGAATAACTACTAATATAGAAAGCATGGGTTTTCTATGCCTCGATGTATTATGCAGATAGTGCATAAACTTTGAGCCATGAACCTTGAAAAAATTAATCCATAAATATATTTAATATCTGTAACAGTAAACAAATTATAAATACAGAATTACTATACTTAAAATAGAACGTTAATCGGAAGTAATTATCATGAATTTATTTTTATTTTTATTTTAATTTCCATTTATTTTATTGGTTCTATATACAGGTTTATCAGGAAAAGTAATATCTAAAGCTGTTCGAAGAATATATTGAAATTCAAACAAATTAATGGGTTCATCATAAAAAGGAAATACATCAATTATTCTATTAAATATATGTTTATGGTAAGGTGACCTGCATAAACTGCCTTGCTTCATTATTGAAAGGCTTCCACATTGGATACACACATACATCTCGCAATGTTTAACGAAATAAGGAAATCCCAAAATGCCTTGTAAAAAATTGTGTAAATTTTTGGATTTTCTAAACGTGGAAAAGTCAATTTTAATTAATACATACGTACTTTTTTAGTTACAAAATAAAATAAAATTTCTTATTATAATATGAAATAAATTGCTTACAAATTATTTCTCTGTGCATATGCTCTTCCCAATATATTCAATGAAACTTTTGAATTTAAAAAAATATCAACATTCTCAATATTTTCAAATTTATGTGGCATCTGAGGGAAATAATGATTTTCATCAAACCAATTATTTGTTTGCCAACATGGACCAACTATTCTTGAATTCGAGGATATCGTATTACAATCGAGGCATTTGTAAAGTGCCCAGTTATATAGCCTTTTTGGTAAGGTTTCAAGAAATCGTGTGTATATTTCAAGTGTTTCGTGGCTTTTATGAAATTCTAAAAATAAAATCAAAGTTATGTCACTATCGTCATTGTTATCTAATAAACTGAGTACAATTCACATACCATCAATTTTAATATATTCTTTCCAGTCTGTGTTTCCGAAATAACCCGAATAGAACATCCTTTTTCCCAACGAAACAGGTTCAAAATGTATGTCCCATCTGTGAGAAAGTGCTTCCGGACGTAAAGAATCCACACAATTCTTGAGAATACCAAAGAAATGTAATAGGTCAAACTTTATTCCTTTCAACTGATCCAAACTAGTCAAGATATAAGAATGCTTATGATTTGAACTACGATATCCAGCATGTTCAGGCAAAGATGAAATTGCATCACACTTTCGACAAATGTAAATTTTATATAGTTCAAAGAAATAATTTGCAGATTTATTGAATTCTTCAAAATTCATTCCGACTCTATTATTTGAAAAAAAAAGAACTATTAATTTATTATTAATTATAATTAAATAAAGTTGTAATTCAGTATTTACAATTCAAAAAGTGATTTTAAGGTCGCGATATCTAGTTTAGTATCGCGTAATCCATCCACAGAAGCAACTCTTTCAACGTTATGTGAATATCTTTGTCGATGACATTGTTGCATATCCTCATCTTGAGATTGCGAAAGTGAAATCTTGTGGCAATTAAAGCATTGACTTAACTCAACTACAGTATCTTTCTTAAGCAAATCAGGAAGTTCATCGATGAAGATGTTAAAATCATTCACTGCTTGTAAACAGCGTTTATAGTCTTCGGCTCGAATATCTGAAATGTTTTAAGTTTGACACCATTAATAATAATTTAAATCTAAACCGCATAATTTTTTTTTGGTTTTTTTTCTTTACCCACATTCTCGATCGAATAAGATTGCCCATCTTTCATCATCCATTCCCTTCGAAATTGGATTAACTCCAATGTTAACGAATAATTTACTATGAACTCTACTTATCTATCTATTACACAGCCACCACAACATTGCCAATAATTTGCTTGTACGTATGTACATTGTAAAAACGGATAAACAAATTTAGGCAATTCATAAGTATCGATATAATTAGATAATAATTTTGTGGATAAGATAAACGAGTTTTACAAGTTTAAATCGCAAGCTTGGAAGATTTTCAATGTCCAAAAATGCTTTAAATCAAATGAAACTTGTATTGAAAATACAATACTGGAACATGACAAGAAATAGCTTGAGAATAATTACAAAACCTTTACGCAATTTTAGCAAAGTTTTGCAATGAGATTTATCTATAAGTTAAGAACATATATATATATATATATATATATAGTTATATATATAATTTTTTTTTATATACTGTATATATATTTTTTTGCTTTAATTATAATTACTTGTTTCTTTAATATGTTAAATTTTATACTCATCACCTCACATCGATATTCTATTAGAGAAAACTATTGTTATTCTACTTTTTTGATCGCAAATGGGGATGGGTCTCTAAAAAAATAGACTGACAGAGTGAAACCTAATTGGTTCATTAATTTCGAACCATTATTGATAATTGAGGTTCGTTAAAGTATAACCGACTTAGTCATAGCATTTGCTGCTATGTAGTGCAAAAATTTTGCGTGTATACGAGTTATTTCCCTCCATACCATAAGCCTGACCGTATTTTCACGAAATAACGAACAGTGTTGTAATTTCGAATTTTGGACTTAATTTAGGCCAAAATCGAAATTGCATCCCCATGCGCTATTACGTATGACCTGCATGATCGCCACCAAAATTCTACGGACACGTGATCGCGCCAAAAATCTTTTAAGTTCGTTTAAGATAGGGTTAGGGTCAATGTTAAGGTTATAATTTTTTTTTAGTGTCCTAATAATAAAATCGTTCAAGGAAAATTTTTTGTTAATGCACGAAAGGTTGTTCCTATGCAGATTTTGGTTGATTTTCTCATGTTCTCTAAGAACATTTAGCAAGTTTTATTAAAAATTTTTTTGAGAACATTAGAGAATATAAAATCAAATTCGAATTTTAAACACCGATTTTTGACAGTTTGTTTTGAATTTTCCTGATTGTGTTACGTTACACCTGATCTTGAAATCTGATTGGTTGGCGCGGTGCGTAGTTAGGGCTGGCATTAGAATTAGAGTACGGCAGAATAGTGTTACAAGCCATAAGGTTTTTATCGGCTGGCTAAGCCAGCCGGTAAAAAAATCGGCTAAGCGGCTGGCTAAT